AATCATTTTGGACATGATTAAATAGCCACAGCGGGAGGTTCTTAATCATTTTTATCATGATTAAGATTGGATCATTCAGATGATTGGTTTTTACCTTGAATAATCATTTAGTTTCGGGTTATCCTTAAGAATACCATATATAGCATTCTCCAGGAACTTCCTGTTAAATAGGTTACATTAGTTTCGGGTTATCCTTAAGAATACCATATATAGCATTCTCCAGGAACTTCCTGTTAAATAGGTTACCCTGAATGTACTAGGGATAGTACTTTTTCATATATAGCATTCTCCAGGAACTTCCTGTTAAATAGGTTACCCTGAATGTACTAGGGATAGTACTTTTTAGGAACTTCTCGTTTGTGAGAAATATTGTTATTCTTGATACAGAATCAGGTCTTGGTTCCTGCCTTCGTATTCAGTCATGATAACCTCGTATCCACCCCCAGCTTTTAGGTGAACCTGAGTCTAATCATATTTGGTTATGTTATTGGAGCGCGCAATTTAAGGAAGTAATTTTTTTAACCTCTTATATCAGTCGGAGGTTTGGGATACAGTTTATACTCGTATACCCTTTGGAGTGCATGGAGAAGCAGTTTATACTCGTATACTCATCAGAGTCACATGGAGAAGCAGTTTATAGTCGTGTACTCATCAGAGTCTGGGGAAACAGTTTATACTCGTGTATGTTGGCGTGGAAAACTATTTTCTTTTTCATTGATATGATTGTCATCTTGGGTTACAAAGATCCGGTCTTTTATAGATCCGGTTACAACTAAATCAAAGAAAAAAATAAAAAAATTATAACTTTCCTCTTGTGAACAAATCGCAAGCTCCTGTTTTGCGGTTGCTTGCTTGTGTGGGTTCTTTGCCAACGTCGGGGTTAATCCGTGGACCACCGCGCGATCTAGATCCGGTCGGATCTACACGATTATGCGGGTATTATTCCACGAAGGGAATAATAGCCGGGAGGGATTAATCCACCAAGGGAATAATCGCTCAGATCTCGAGATCTAAGACCAAGCTTAGATCTGGAGTGTAGTCTCGTGTAGATCTCAGATCTGTTCTTTCTTCCTCTCGAGATCCTGCCTTTTCTGACGTGGATGGTCGCCGAGGATCAGATCTGAATGGTGCAAGTCTTCTGGTCTTCAAGCTCCGAGTTCACTCTTCAATCCGGCAGAGTTTCGGCTCTTGAAAGTTCGACCTCCGAAAATGAACATCTCTAGGCCTATTTATAGGCTCTCAGGACAGTGGCTGCAAAAAGAGAATTGTCGGCCCCCTCTGGCCACTGTCGGCCACCTCGGGCCACTGTCGGCCACCTCGGGGTGGCCGACACTGTGCCTAGCCACCTTGGGGTGGCTCGGCTCATGGCCGAGCC